GGGGGGGGGGGGCTGGACTGAGAACGGGAAAGGAGGCTAAGTTGACCCTTTTCTGTTAGTGGACCTGCATTTGCAGAGGATGCTTTCCCCTTCTTCAATGAACTCCTCCACTGATCTGCATAACTATTAGTCACTGCAAGTTTGCCAGCCCTGGGAATCAATCATCTACTAAATCTGAATCATCTCCAAGAAAGCCTCTGGGACCTTTGGTAACCATTAAGATTTGCTGGAGGGGCACCACTACTCTTCACAAGTGACCGGCATGGATCTTCTTTGCTGAGATGATACAAGTGGTTGCTAACTGGCAGTCAGCAGGGAATAAAAGACAATACTGAAAAACTTGATTGAACACGTCTCAAAAATGTTATTATTATCATTGGTGGCTAGTTATTCATTCATATATATATCCGCTTAGAAATGCCCAAGGTGGGTCATGGTTTATAATTAAAACACAATTTCTCCTTTTAAAAAGAACATACAAAAATAAACCTAAAAATACTTTAAGCCATAGACTATAATAAAAAACTGGACAACTCTCATCAAAATCTGGCAGTAAAGTATAAAAATCAGGCCAAAGCAATGCAACATTAAAGGAACAAGAATAAACAGAATAAGGAGAATTCCATCAAGTTGGGGGGGGGGGCACACCACTAAAAAAGGCAAGAAGTGCTGAAACAGTGTTTTTACTGAGCGCCTAAAACTACTGGGATTTCCAGAACTGAGGGGCCACACCAAAGACGGACTTGCCTGGTCTCTGCCTCTCTCATTTCTGAAAGTAGAGGCACATACAGCAGGGCCTGTTACGGAATCTTTACTGTTAGGCAGGTTCAAGGGAGACTAAATGGTCCCTTTAACCCCAGACTATAACACTTTCTAAGTGACAACCAACACTTTGAATTGTACTTGAAAACAAGAGTGGCTTCTGGCATAGTCCTTCCAAAAGTAGAGAAAGGATGACTGTAAATAAAATAAATAAATAACAACTGTTCTAATGTAACTTTGCCTGATTAATACTTGTATTATTAAGGATACAGAAGAATAAGCACATCTTCTACAAAAGGAAGTCCTGCCTCAACTTTTGGGAGTTGTTTAAGTCTGTTAACAAGAATGTGTATAAGGCTGAACTGGGCGACATGTTTATGCTTATGGCCTCCTTCCCAGTGCCTGCTGTTTTAAATATTATTGGGCACTAGAGTTGTTTTATTGTTTTGCATGTTGTAAGCCACCCTAAGCCCACTTGTGGGATAGGGTGGGGTATAAATGGAATAAACAACAACAACAACTATGACTAGGTCATATCGCTCACACAGAGGCAAGCAGCTGGGGTACCAGATTTGGCTAAAAGCAATACACAACACAGAAGCCAAGTCAGGCAGCCACACAGAAGTGCCAGTCTAACAGAACCTCTGAGCTACTAATTTTTCTTTTAGAAGTGCATCCATAGTCACCATACTGGTGAGCCAATGTAGTGTAGGGGCTAAGAGTGTGGGGACTAAAATCTGGGAGGCCAGGGTTTGAATCCTCACTTGTGCCATGGAAGCTCGCTGGGTGACCTCGGGCCAGTCACACACTCTCAGCCTAACCTGCCTTGCAGGGCTGTTGCAAGGATAAAATAGAGGAGAGCAGAGCAACATTAAGCTGCTTTGGGCTCCTACTGAAGAGAAAGGTGGGGCACAAATGAATTAATTAAATAAATACTCAGAATGGGCAGATTCTTTAACATTCAAATGGCTAAGCTACCAGCCAACAATAGATCAGTTGTGTGTGGATTAAACCTCATTAATTGCTGGGTAAAAGCATTTTAAGTGAAAAAAGAGTGTTGAACTGAATGTAGGCGACCACCTCTTACTAATGAGCATGCAGAATTCTGAAATCAAAAGAAGAATTTCTTCAGTTTCAACGAGGGTGTGGAAGAACACCCCTATCTCTAACATACTCCAGACCTTTCCTTTGCACTTACCATGGCCTTGTTCTCCTTTATGTTTAAGGCTCTTTTCTCTAAGAATTTGGGGCCTCTTTCCTCATCAGAATCCAAATCCAAGTCCAATCCAGGTTTGATGGCCACACTTTTGCTCTTTACTCTCTTGGACTTTTGAGGGGGAAATTTAATAGCAACTTTCATCAGACGCACAGAGCACTCCCGCAGCCTCTTGGGTGGAAGCTGGTTTTTCACGCTCGTATAATTTTCCTCAGAATCCATCTCCAGTTTCTATTCAAAGCAAAAACGGGACTTTAAAACCACAGCCAAGTAGCTGTTACCACAGGATCCAGAACTCCAGCTTCTCAACAGAAGAAGTCCAACAACACACACACACCTCACTAGGTAATATTACCTCATTGCAATTGGACTCTTGAGTAAGTTTCCTCATCATCTTTTCAGTTTAATTTTTGCCAGAGGTCATTTCTGGGGGGAACGCGGGGGAACACAGTTCCCCCGGGTGAGGTGCAGGGGGCGGGGCACATGATGAAGCCCCGCCCCCTGCTTCCGGCTGCCCCGCTTCCAGCCCTCATTCAGCCAGGAGGAGGCAGGAGAAGAGGGAGGGTAAGTTGCTTCCTCCCTGCCTCTCCCCACCCCTGCCTGCCTGGGGCCAGGGAGGGCCTTGGCGGGGCTTCCTCGCACTCCCGCTGGCCTTGCAGGTCCACCGCCGGGCCCCTGATGTCAGGGGGTGTGGCATATGCTAATGAGTTATGCTAATGAGTTCCCCTAGCTCTTTTTCTATGAAATGACCTTTTTCAGGTCCAAAAAAAATGATGAGGAAAACCCAAGAAGGAACTGTTTTGAACCATATAGCATCTGCCCAGCAGCCAAATTCGCATGCTGCCAACCATCTGCAGCACTAGGACAACTTAACAGTGACACATTGTGCAATCCTCATTCTAATAATATTGAATACAGAACCCCACCCTGGTCCTATTTGGACCCTTCAAGTCACAGGGGAAGCCCTTTTTTTGCTGCACCAGTTCAATACCAGTTGGAAAGCCCCGCACTCAAAACTTGCCGGGCCTCAGAAAGACTGAGGAAACACCTATGGCAGCAGATGCACATAACCACTACAGTTCATGCTCTTACTTGGGAGAATAAAAGGGGAAGAGAGAAGATCTAGAAACTGTGCCAAAAAAAGAGAGAGAAACATTAAGGGAGAAGGAGGCACTCACCCACAGGAGTGGTCGTCTAGTAAACTGAAGATCAGGACACAGCAGGTGCTTACAACTTGTCCTAACGGACAAGGTATCAGCAGAGTTAAACAGGACACCATGAGAGGCTACAGCCCAAGTGGGAAGAGCCTAGGGATTACTCCATCAGAGGGCAGAGGAAAAGAGAAGGGAAGGTGCCTCATGGTATTGTCTACCAGCATGAACTTATAACCTACTAGTTCCAGGTGGTCATCCATGTTGGTCTGAAGCAGGGCAAATTTAGAGTCCAGTGGCACCTTTAAGACCAACAAAGGTTTATTCAAGGTATTTGAAAAAGGTGTGCATGCACATGAAAGCTCATACCTTGAATAAATCTTTGTTGGTCTTAAAGCCACCACTGGACTCTAAATTTGTTATATACTACTTCGCTTAAACAGCCAACAGGGTAATCTTTTTTTTTTGGTAAACAAAGTTTTATTATTTTCCAATCGTAGGTATTCAACATTTATCCATTAAAACTTTAAAAAGAAAAGTACATAAACGATTACTTACCCTACAATCCATACACCTTCCCCCCTCCTGTGGCTTCCCGCAATGCTTTCACCCCCTTCCCCTTACTTATATATATTTCATCAGTTGCTAATATCATATTTCTAATCATTTTAAAAGATAACATCTTTTTACTTAGTATTGTTCTAAACACAGTAAATTGTTTGTCACATCCCAGTTCTTTTCCAGATAGTTCTTAAAGTCCTTCCATTCTTCAAAAAATTCTTCGTCTTCTTTGTTGTTCAATTTCTTGGTAATTTTATCCATTTCTGCCATGAACAGAACTTTATGTATCCAGTCCTCAATCTCTGGTACTTTTTCAAGTTTCCAATATTGTGCATATAGCATTCTTGCTGTCGTTATTAAGTACCAGAATAAGGTTTTTTTACGTCTTCTTTGTTGTTCAATTTCTTGGTAATTTTATCCATTTCTGCCATGAACAGAACTTTATGTATCCAGTCCTCAATCTCTGGTACTTTTTCAAGTTTCCAATATTGTGCATATAGCATTCTTGCTGTCATTAAGTACCAGAATAAGGTTTTTTTATCCACATTGACTTCTTCCATTTTTAGTCCCAATGGATTTTCGTCCAAAAGTCCACAGCTTTTTCGCAAGTCCACCACATATGGTAAAATACGCCTTCATGTTTTTTACATTTCCAACATTTATTAGACATATTTTGGTTCATATTTGCTATTTTTTTCGGAGTCATGTACCATCTATACATCATTTTATAACAA